GCATATCAACTGGATAGAGCTTACAGCTCCAGGTAGTGGTTTCGATAGCGACCTTTTATCTACCGTTATTCCGTGTGCACTTGTACAGTGTATCACAAAACCGACACATATTGATTTCAATCATGGTCCGTCACTGCTGGACCTCGCCCTCACTCACCACTGTGAGGATGTCTTTGATATTCAGCACCTTCTCCCAATAGTGAACAGTGATCAAGTTGTAAATCACATTAAGTTTAGGACACATGGTATACAATTCGTATCTGCTCCACCCCCTCCCAATATCTGGCGAGCCAATATTCCGGCAATCAGAAACTGTGCTATCTCGACTGATTGGTCGGTCGACGCGGATGGATTGATCGAAGATAAATGGAATAAGTTTAAGGCCACATTGGAGTCCGTAACGTCGCCGTTTATCCCATGGTCAGCAAGTAAGCTGTCACATTGCCCTCCATGTATTAATAAGGAAACCCAGAAGCTGTTAAAGCGTCGGAAACATTTCTGGGACTTATTCTTGTTGACAGGTCATGCACCATTTAAGCGTGAGTATCAAAAATTCCGTAATATCTGTAAGAAAACCATAGCCAAATCCCGTACCACTTACGAACGACAGTTAGTATATGATAGCCGTACTTGTCCGTATGTTAAACGGTGAATGAGACGTAGTGATGGTATTCCTCCGTTACTGTTACACGAAAATTCAGATTTACTAGCTGAATCAGATCGAGCAAAAGCTGAGACTTTTCCAAACTTTTTTTAGCAAAGTCTACTCTACGTTTATTGTAACAAATACTTGTCCCACTCACACCGAGATATCAACTATTGAATCTGTACAGGTGACTGTGGAAACTGTCCTTCCGTTGATAACTAACCTCAAACTTGGTAAGATGCCGGGCCCTGACGGGTTACATTCACGATTGTTGTCATCTCTTGCGGACATTATTTCAAAACCGCTCGCGACACTCTTCAACATGTCCCTTTCACTCGCACAACTCCCTAGAGATTGGAAGGACGCTATAATATGTCCTATATTCAAGGACGGTCAGAGACAGATAGTATCTAACTACCGGCCTGTCAGTCTAACTAGCATAGTCGTTAAGCTACTTGAAAAGATAATTCGGGTTAGGTTGCTAAGCCACTTATATGTAAACAATCTGTTAGCTCCTGAGCAACACGGATTTCGTAACAAGCGTTCGTGCTTGACTAACTTGCTTATTGCGAGGGAGGATTGAACAGCAGCCCTAGATAACGGTCTGTCGGTCGATGTGATATTCATAGATTTTAGCAAAGCATTTGACAAGGTTTCACATTTAGGTCTTATGCAGAAGCTCACGACCTTCGGAATAGTAGGTACTGTACATGAGTGGATAGGAAATTTCTTATGTGACCGCAGACAGAGAGTTAGAGTCAACGGAACGCTATCCGATTGGAGGCTGGTCAAAAGTGGTGTACCCCAAGGCACCATCTTAGGCCCTCTGCTCTTCCTTCTCTACGTTAGTGAGTTACTGCTGTTACTTAGGTTGTCGACATTATTGTTTGCGGATGATGTAAAAATCTGGTGAACAATAAAAAGTGCGGCTGATCATCTGGATCTCCAAGCTGACTTAGACGATTTAGTTAGATAGGCTCGAGAGTGGGGCTTAGAAATCAATTCTAGGAAGAGTGTGCTAATGCACATCGGTCACGGTAATGGTTACCGTTATACTATTGAGGGTAAACCTCTTCCATGCGTTCAAGAGCATAAAGATTTAGGAGTAGTATTAAGTCATGATTTAAAAACAACTACGCATTGCAAAGCAGCCGCTGTCAACGGTTTCCGTGCATTGTGGTCACTTCGTTGAGCGTTCAAATCTTTTGACGAGGAAACGTTTCGAATTTTATATCCCATATATGTTAGACCACATTTAGAGTACTGTATCCAAGCAGCTAGCCCGTGTCTGGTAAAGGATACTAACTCCCTTGAGCGTATACAGCCTGTGGGAACGAAATTAGTGAAGGGTCTTTCTAGACTCCCCTACGATGAGCATTTAAAACGCCTAAAATTTTTTCCTTTGTCGTATCGTAGGACACGAGGTGACCTTATACTGGCATTTCGTATCTTTAATTATGATTTGGGTGTTAATATGTCTTATCCTTTTGCTCCCTCCAGCACTAATAATCTCCGAGGTCATAGCAAGAAGGTTTATAAACCACGATCTAATAAACTTAAAAAGGGGTCCCGTTTTTCTCATCGAGTAGTCAATCATTCGAACGCCTTACCCGTACAAGTGGCATCAGCCCCATCAGTGAATAATTTCAAGGAGAAGCTGGACCTTCACTGGAAGGCAATCTGTCAGGATTAATACAGGTTCACCAACCTACTATCCTTATTACTGAAGACTGGAAATGTTGGATGTTGGACTGAAAATGAATTACCGAAATTTTTAATGTCAAGGTTAGTCCTGGTCATGTGTTTGGTATGGATAGTAAACCAGGCTATGATTCAGATGACGAATTCTTCGATTGCCAGTCAGAAGGTAATAGTTTCATTTGCTTAGCGAAGTTTTTTCAGCTTGTTTTTATGCTGTGGCTTCTCCTTTGAGTAAAGGTCAAGGTGAAGTTTTTGTGGATCCTAAGAGGGCTTATTTAAAGTTACGTGGTATCACGGGTGCTAGGCTTAAGTTATTTGCTAACCATGTGGATGCCAACAAGTTTGCGAATACTCCAGTTGACGAAGAGAACCTCTCCAACCCCTACCCTCCAGTAAGTTGGGATATTTTGTATACAAAAATTAAGTCACCCAAAGCTGATGTTGAAAGCAGTCCATACCCAAGTGCTAGTCAACAAACCCTAATTCGTTTTCGATCAATGTTAGATAATGGGAACGTTGATGTTGTTAAAAAAATGGTAGACGATAACCCGATGATTTTAGTAACGACTAGTGACACACCCACAATATTGCAAGTTAGTTCAATTTTTGAACATTTACAATGCTCTAGTTTCATTTGAAAGTTGACGTGTCGCGTAAATCTTTTGTTTACTTTGTTTATATATATATATATATATATATATATATATATATATATATATATATATATATATATATATATACTTACGCATGACCTGTAAGTCATCTGGCTGTTCTTATGGACTACTCACCATAAACCACAACTTATAGCTCCCCAAGACGTACTAGGATATTAAAATGCCTAAAGTAATACTGGGAATGCAATCCGACTTTGGTCAAAAATCTAATAGACGAAGTTTGGTATCTTCTAATGATGGGGATTATAAAACCTCTTCTGTACTAGTTTGCAAAACTAAGGATGACATATTTCTGCCCCATGTAAGTGAAGCTCAAGAGGGATTTTCTGTAAGCAGCAGGCAGTAAAGTTAGTAGCGCATGTGTTAAAAAGTCAAAAGGTGTTTTTTTGGCAGTGAAACTTTACTCCGGGTAATGTATATAAACTTTTAAAATTCAGTCATCATCATGGTAGAATAAACATTAAGCCAATATCAAACTAATTACGGTTCATCTAAGGCGAAAAATCATCAGGCCGATCATTGGTTAGCTTTTTAACGTTGGGTTGTTCATGCTGATGACTTCGCATTCTCCAAATCTAAACACGCACCAGGCGCTTACCGAAAATAGAAACTGTCACATCCTATAGTTGACAAACAGATATCACATGTACACCATAAGTGACGTAGACTGGCAAAAACCAACTGGTCTTTCTGAATTCCTGCCGAGATTTTGTTTGAGACTTCCAAGATGAGTAGACTGCTCAGCACATCCAACTATTTTACTCCCTATCATTAGTTCAAGCGTTGACCCGAACCGATCCTGAAGTAACATTTTTCGTTTGGATGAAGAGGAATGCATTCCCAACATCATTGCACTGTTCCATAAGGTGGTCAGAATACCGTATTTTTCAACATCAAACACAACCATACCATCTGCGTATTTTAAGTCAACGAGTATATCCCTTGGTAAAAAATCGATTCATGATAAGTCAGACGGTGAAAGTGTCATCTCCAAAAAATGTCTACAACAAAGTTAAATAAAAGTAAGGGAAGAGGACAACCTTGAGGAACACTTGAAGTTATCGATTCTGATTAAAGTTTGTCATAAGCTCTGAATATTAACACGAAATAGTTATTTCGTATCAATATTCAACTATTAGGTTCTGATCATAAATCACTTCCGTTTACATTCACTTTCAGTGCTTATAAAAGCTCATGTTCAAGCCAAGTGTAGGGAATGCTGACGTCGTTACCAAAGATGAGTTGATGGTTTAAGGATTTGAGTAATAAGGTATCAAATTAATCACATTGCTTAATTTTTTAATGTGGCCATTCTTTCATTATATACCTAATTTTCCTCCTTTATACACGCCATCTTTTTGTTATATTTCATTTTGCATGTTTTCCGATTATTTTTACAACAAATGCCAAACTGAAGATACGCTTTCGATATAATGCATTACATGTGGTTGCTTCGAAAGGCAACGTCAACCTGCTTCAGTTTCTCCTAAATTGTATTGATTCTGATAAATTTTGGGAACGTCTGTATCCAGGTGCATCTAAAGAAGCCTCTTATTGGCGTCAACAGTATGTTCTAGACCTATATTTGAATAGTCCTGAGCTTGGAGTGAGTTAACTGTCGATATTTAATAATTTTTACCACAAGACATCGTGGACAATAATTTTTCGGTTTCATAGTGTTTTTGTGTTGTCACGTATAAATATCTGTGATTGAAAGTAGTTCGAGGTAAGTGAAAACAAAACTGACTATGCACTTATAATATCTTAAATACGGAAATTGTCATGTATGCGTATTGTATGTGTTGCTGAAAATACTAGAATTAGACACATTCATGACTAATGGAATAAATCTGGCAATTTATATGTCGCACGAAAACGCATAGTTGTCATATTGCACTAAGTTTTTCCGAGATCAGGTTCATGAAAGACCTGAATCTCCCCTCAGAAGGCCAACAGATAAATCCGATTAAATTTACTAAGACTTGTCTCTGAATTATATATATATTCTGTAAAAAACTTCCATTTAAAATGTCTGAGTTATCTCACATCAGTAACGAGTTGTTTATTGTTTTTCTTAATATATTTTTCCATATAGAGCGTATCTTAATACTTAGAACGTTTCTAGAAAAATAAGAGAATGAAATCTAATGGCAATGTTTTATAGAAAATATTTTAGTTGTATATTTGCATTTACCACATTAATTCCAATGCCACACTACATGTAGCTCAAGAACTGCACCCAAATTAGTGTACTATACCTAAAACACAAATAGCCTTTACATTTATCCTTAAATAAAGTCAAGAATAAAGCGTTCGACTAACTCGTTTTGTTTTTTACATTTCCTGAAAGTGTTGGAACAGTTTAAAAACAAATCTTGTTGCAGAGTAAATCCTCAGTTTACAGTCACAGAATAAATCGGGATAAAATTCACGTAATATGTTAGTTGAATTTCATGATCTGTATTAAGCTTTTATTTATTCGTAAACGGTCATTCACGGTTTCCTCAGTTTTATGTTCACTTCTGTACAACTACATTCCAAATTTCTTACAGTGCCCAATCAAACGTACCAACTCAGATAAAATATAATGTTTATGTTTTACAGAACTTTGAAACTCCCCTACATTTCGCTAGTAAATATGGACATATTGAATGTGTTTCCATGCTTGCGCGGCATCCATTAACAAAGCTCGACCCTCGTAACTTTGCAGGTCATACGCCTGTAGATTTGGCTGCTACTCGTTTGATCAGTCAAGAGAAAATCCTCCATTCGGATTTCGATTGTCCCACTAACATTGTTAATAGAATTCTACATATTTTTGATGAGAGGTACAATTAGTTCTTATTATTCAAATGTTGTTGGGTCTTTATTGATTTTATTTTTCAATGCTGGCACGTTTAATATTAATATCGTAATTTCCTAATTTTTTATAACTGCCAAAATTCATATATCAGAATTTTCGTTTAAATTTGAACGAATAGTTTCACAGTGATTGGGTACGGAGTTAATGTAAAGCATTAAGGAGGCAAAATATATTTGTAAAATCTCAGTGAGTGAATTTAAACTCGAAATGAAAAATCGTTATCAGGAATTTAAGAATTTGGGATCTAAACGATGACAAAGAGTAAATACACCTGCGTCATTGCAAATGATTTTCAGCCATATGACTCAAAGTTTTTAACCTTTGGTTACGATGATCACACGTACCCTAACTGGGTGGTCTGTACCTATCTACACGGTTCATTTTAATAGTCAATGTCTCCACGGACTTATGCCATGTTTTGATTTGGTCGCCCCTAAATTTCCTCCAACCTGCTCCCGCTCCGGAAAACATTGTTCGTCGAGGTAGGCGGTAGTCGGGCATATGTAACACATGTCCCAACCACCTCAATTGACGAAGATTTACTACCTCATCATTTGGTTTCCCATCTCCACCTAGTACTCTATTTCTAACTCAGACATTGTTTACTCCGTGGTCCCAAAATACACGAACAGTGCTTCGAAGACATATGATCGAACACCAGTAACCTACGAATATCCTCTATTCTTATTGGCTATGTTTCATACCCATAAAGTAGGACGGAGCGAACTACTGTGCAACAAACTCGCCCTGTGGTTGTAATATAGATATCTTGCCTACGCCACAAGTGATGCAATTCTACAAAATCCAATCAAATAAACAGTAGATCGACGAAATTTAATAATACGGATCATTGTATTACGACTTAATGGCTTAACTATACCGTGTTCACTACTAGACTTTTAGCACCACTTAAGATCAATCCAGTTTAGGTTACAAATTGTTTGCAATAGTAATGAGTCCCACCGAGTGAAGATGAAACACTGTTTTTTGATCATAATTGGTTTCCCTGCTTATGTCGGTGCGTAATAAAGAATATCCCGCTTCTCTTTTGAAAAGTATGATTTGAATTCTAATAGACAACTATCACATCCATATTTCGACCACTGGGTTTGAGCAGCTGAGTGTTATCATAAAACCTTACACCAAGGTACACTCAACACCGAGTAGATAAACTTGTACTTATCTACTAGTAAATGAAAACGGATTCAAATTCAACAGTCTTGTAATGGAGCATGTTGACCACGAACTTAAATCATTTATTGTTTAAATCTTAAAATGATTCATAAGAAATCATAACTATTAGATTTATCATGACAAAGTGTGTTTTCCATTTGTGACCCAAAAGTTGAATATTGTATGCCTAAAACAATCAATTAAAAATGTATTCGAACGAAATGTACGTTATCTTAACGTGCATGGCTCATTAGTTGAGGTTGTATATTCGGCTTTTCACTATAATATGCTTGTCTTACTGTCACATTTTATTAACTGATTTTAGTATCATACATACAGAAATGATGAATTAATATGTTCTGAAAATTTATCATGTTTTCGTTAAATAACCTCACCTTTCAACTGTGGCATCAAATAAATTTTATTTTTTTCACTATCTGTAAAAACTAATTTGATCATACTTACTGCATGAAGTTCAAGTATATTAAAGAGGTGTGTAAATCGAATTCAAAAAGTATAGCTTCAAGCTCATCACTCTGTTTTTAATAGTGGGGTACAAGTACTATGTTACATAATCTGCTTCAAGTATGTAGATGTGCAGTACAATCGTCATAAAGATTTCTAGAAGTGGTTTTTTATTTCACTTCTATAAGTAGCCGAACATACGATCCAGTTACTTTGTTTACATTACTGTTCTGGAGAACGTTGACCGTCAATCACTTTTTCTCCGTGCTTTTTAGACATACCAATAAATCAACATTCTATTTCCTCGAGATTGTGAGTCTCTAATTATTGCTGACATTATAATGCGTCTGACCAAGTGTAATTTTCATTTTTCTTATTTTGTTTTGTAGTTACATTGTATTAGCAGATGTGGAGGTCTCAGAACCAGCTATAATAAAGACTAGGATACTAGCACCCTTGAACACGCGTGAATTTCAAACGATGTTAGGGTTGTATGCACGGAATTCGTGTAAAACATTTAGAAATGCAACCCATGTGAAACCATTTCCTACACAAAACAATCAATATTATTTTTTCAGGAGTTCGGTGGAAACTGGGGATTGTCTCAAAGTTAAGATTAATGGCAATGTTCACCGGTTACGAGGCTTCTCAGGACCAATGCCGAGTGATGTAGTGAGCCAAGCTTGTTGAGAAAACTTTTTGTGTTGAGTAATATCTTCCTAAATGTTTCTTATTTTAGACATATTCCTTGTCTGATTTAATCAATTAGAATTACTGATGTACAGTCACGATATTTTAAAGTTTGAAAGTTTTAATGTCAGAAGTAATGTCCCAGTTGTAAAGTTTTTATTATTTACCAGCAGTCTTGTGATAAATCTATACTCATATGTTGTGCTTGTTATTTTATCATTGGAATGCATATATGTCACCTAGTGATCAAATTACTTGTCATTCGAAAAAATTCGAACTCAATAGCGGTTCCAGACCAATCCCTTTCTGAGACTAAAGTATCTAACTTATTTTTTTTGGTTATCGAAACGCTGGTCAAAGTAGTAAAAATCTCTATCCTTATGTGTAGTACCGATAATCATTCCTACATTATCGAATTTTGTCGGTTAGACTGTAGCTTTTCTGAATCTGTTATTGACCTAGTTTCTGCAAATGAAGTTCCCCTGATTAGGACGATAATTAGTTGCATTTTTCAGGATACCACGAATGGAAATTCAGAAACGCTTTGATTCCGTCTCTCAGTGTTATGTTGCACAGTTGCTTTCAAAGTTGAAATTACTTTACCATACTATAGGACGCATATCCCATCCTGTTCGGGACTAAACACACTTTTAGTTCGCTTCGGTACAATCCTAATGTATAGCACTTCAAATCTACACCATATCATAACTTCTTATTACTTGATGCTTTTAACATCTCTCAACGAATTTGAGAGCTCGTACTTCACATGATGCTAGATAAATATACATAAACTCACATCCATACTTTATATACAGGTTGTTTATTTCACTAACCTCCTATCAGGGTGTGTAGATCATTAGTTGTCACTGTTAATGTGTATCTTATACTGTCGACATCCAATTTCGATTATTAGATTGTACCAGTTATTGCAAACAGTACAATTATTATCCAATCCCTAAATACAGTTTATTTTATGGCCAGTTTGTTTCGTCATCCTTTTTATGTATGTGCTCAACATTCAACCATTATCGGGTAAGCAATCCTAACAAATTACTCCAGTTTTCCCGGCATATGTCTTTATACAATAAGCATCAATTTCACAGCCTTAGTCAAAGAGTTGTTTATTTTGTGTATTACTGCACTCTATCTCTCAAAAGCCATCCAGGAGCGACAGATTATTCGCTGACCCCTTTCTAAAAGATTAGACTATGCGTAGAACTTGTGACTTTTGGTTGAATTTCTTCTTCGTTAAGTCCTATAAAAAATTCTCTACAAATTCTAACCATACTATGAGGATATTTAGATAATCCATACCTTGTCCAATAGCAGTATTCGCAATTTACAGTAAATTTGGGTAGTGGCTAGCAGTGGAATCCAGGGATTGTTTTGTTTCATCCAGGACTCGTCAGTTGAACTCACTTATACCCCAGTGTTGATTTTCATACTGAGATTGTAGCCCAGTACCTTTCGTTTCAAATACCAACTGGCTATCCGCCTAGCTACTTAGTTAAGATGAACACTAGTTTGCGCGATGGTTATGAATTTTATTTGCAAGCGTTTGTATTTTTTCTTTGTTGGTATTTAAGCAAATGATCAATCTTGTTACTAAATGGTAATGTCCAGGCAATTCTTTATGAACCAACTCACTCACCAGGTGCTTGGCTATGGACCGCACTAAGTGCTAGTACTGATGATACTACCTGGCCGCACATACAGAAGCAGGTGGCTCAGAGTTCAGACCTGGAAATTATGATTGAAAGTCGATTGCTCTATTGAGCTATCACTTAACAAAAGCTCCACAAACCCTTACAAATACTTCTGATTTAACTTTTAGTACTGTAGGAGTAAGTTTCCCACTTATCTGATAAAATCTTTTTAGTTCATCTAAAAGCAACTACCCGATTTTTTATTAGAAACTATTCACAATATGTGTTCAGACTCATTGATGTTCACCTTGGTTCCTAAAACTAAATTGTAGATAGAGATAACTGTGCTCAAAAGAAAATAGAGTACAACTCAGTACAGTTTAAATTTCCAATTACTGTACACCGAATTTAATAAAATAGAGTAAAAAGTCGACTATTCAAATCTGTGGACTGCAATGTAGAGAGCCCTTATTCATATTCTATTAGTTGATATTTCTTAGCCGTAAGAATTATTTGAGATTTAATCTAATTCATAAAAACCTTTCTTCATTTACAAACATTCATTTGATTGTCATGCGTTTTTTACCCCAACTAATCAAAACACACAAATAGAACAATATAACGGTGTATACGGTGTCATATTTCATCGATTATGCTAACTCGGCATAGTGCTGTAATTCGTTTCGTTTTAAATAGCTAACGCCAGTCAGCAACAATCCGTGGACCTAGAACAAGTGCTTGGTTTTCATCGGTAGGGTGTATCTGCAAACCTAAAGAAACTAATACTTCCCATCAGATCCGAACTTGTTCAACCCAGTTCTGCAGTCAGATTACCAACTTTTTAATCACAGATCCAATTTTAACCGAACTGATGTCAGAGCCCTTAACTGACACTTCTAGTTGTGAATGGATTTATGTGACTCGAATTCAAGCATAAAGGCCGGCATTAGTCACTTTGTTACGTAAGGATTATTACAGCAATGTCATTCAACCTAATCTTTTGGATGGAAGTAATGCGACCTACAAAAAGTGATTTAGTCTATACGAGTCGGATTTCACCTAATTATTTGTTAAATGTTTGACATCAACCATTAAAACTTCCCAAAATAAGAAACTATATATGATGCCTAATCTGTCCCAATTTTCATGTTGTTATAGGCTGTCGAATTTCGAAAAAAATGGCTTCAATACAACGCACCTAATGCTGTTGACTACAAATCTTTTTCACATCTTCGTCTAATTGATTCGGAAAAAGGATATGAACGCCAAGGAAGGTAAGTTGGTTTGTTTATGAGAACTCATAGAACGCCTTATAAAAGAAACCAACTTTGTTTATACGTCTGAATGGATATTAATCTGACTTCTAGTTCTGGCAATGGTTTATTTTAAGAATTATAGACAACTGTAGTGACCAAATGGATAATGTATCACTTTGTATGCTTTAAACCACCAAACAACTCGACACATACGATTCTCAATAGGAGTCCTTTGAAAAGCATTCAACCCTCGACATGCTTAACTTTGTGGAGTCAAGTAGTGGAATCAGTCTACACGTGAAAAGTGCAATTAAAGCCTATTAAATAGACGTTTTTTGATGTACATATCCTATGTATCCAAAAATTCTTAGTAAATACACTTTTTACTCCAGGTATTTATCACGTGTTTTTGGGACAAGTTGGTATGAATACTGGGAATTTTTGGATGATTACATTGACTTAAGCTCCGAAGATGGTTTGCTAGCTTTAGAAGATTATCTGTCTAATTGTTCATCACTGAACATTGACCATCCATTAAAAGAAACTACCAGTAATGGGGATTGCTCAAACAATAGTAATACTGAAGGTACTCTAGCAAATGTTTTGCAAGATGTCAGTCAGACTGGCTGTACGCTCTCTCCAACATTTTCACTTTTCGATGATAACAATAACGATGTATTCGCTCCTGCAACACCTATTATCCGTGGAAAGTTAGTTCCTAAGAGCAATTCAACAATTAACAGAGAATTATTTGCGTCATCTAACTCTCAACGTTGGCTATCTTATCGTCAAGATAAAGGTTGTATTCATGGATTAAATGATAGTTTGGAAAATAGCTCCGAGCAAACAAACTCAAATATTCATTCTCATGAGTAAGTTTATTCGTTGAACTTATATGGTTTTTACTAATATTAAACAAGTGATAGATGAAAACATCGAGTTGATGGATGTTCGGTTGCATATTAATTTACGGAGGCTGAAAGTTCCCTAAGTGAAAAACGGAAAAATCCTAGTCAAAACTGAGTGTTGACTTCGTAGTATGCAACCGTTATAAATTGATAGCCCTTGTGATAAGTGTGATAGGTCTTAGATTCGTGTTACTGGAAACACCTACCACGAATACCAAGTAAGATAACAATGTATCCTGAAGAGTGATAGCTCAGTGGTTAGGACAATTAAATTAGGTTTCGTATTCAAACTTCACTTTACCCAGTTTGATCTAAGGTGCCTGGAGAAATTTCATTAATGATCTACTAGGTAGTGATCGTTTACAAATATAACATGTCATTAACTTACTGGCTGGCGTTCTGCGACCAGCCATCCAGTAACTATCAGCAGATTGAGTCATACTGGGATTGTTTAGTATTTGTTGAACAAGACTTAGATGGACAACACTGTTCACTAAAAGAACGAGATAATACCTATACTTTCATGCGAATGAAAATAGCCTGTAACATATATGTTGAAATTCACCAGGTTTAACAGAATGTGTTTTCTCTCTTCTCTATAGGGAAATGTCCGATGAAAGAGACTCAGTAGACGAGGCTGTTGTTGTCAGTCCCATTGTACAACTTCTGAAGCGTTTGACGTTTTTAAGTCCAATGAGTTGGTTAAGAGCAGGTAATCAAGTAGACGCAGATGGCCAGAAGTCTTTAACGACAGACAATTCTACTACCAATAAACTTGTTGGTCATGTGTCTGAACTGAGATTTTCAAATAAACGCAAAATATCGGCATCAAGCTTTCAGAGCTTAGATTCGCCCTTAGACAAGCCTGGTGGCAAGAAACACTCGCCCGGTAAAACAGAAACTAAACCAACATCTGAATTAACAAGAAAACAATTACCACATGACTTCACTAATATCTACAAAGCGTTGCCTGGAAATGACGACGAACTAAAATATTTTAACCCGCTTGAGCTGCCACTTCAAAAATCTACACCATCTCTTGTACTATCCACGTCAAACAATTCTAAATTTATGAAATGTATTCAACTAACTGAATACGTTCAATCTTTCTTAAATAAGTCCTCATAAATATTTAGCTGATAATAAACAAGAGTAAAAAGATAACTGTGTACAATATTTTTGTTAAAGCTTGTTTTCTATGTACATTTCGCAATCTGGTGCTTTATATATTCATATATATATCTTACGTGTTTTTTGTCAATTCCGATTAATTCTTAGGAGGAAAAATGCTTCATACGAATGAAATATCAAATGTGTTCTCACACGCCAAACAAGGTCAAACAAAAAAAGCATCACTTCATGCAATATACTGTTACGAGTCATCAATTATTACTTGTGCGATGCTAAAATACTGGGAATTTTCCTTCACAAAGTACTGTTCCTTTAATACGAAAAAGCATAAGAAACAACCATAATATTAAATATAAAGTTGCATTTAAGAACAAAAAACTTCGTATGAAATAGATTGCTCGTTTTGACAAGCAAAATGATTCACTCTAGAAACAGAAACTGTTCAGTTCATCCAGGGAAAACTGGCTAAGTGCTATGCTTATTTCTGTACCCCAGGGAAAACAATCTGTACCGTCAGTGATTAAGTTAATATAACGAGAGTGTGGGTCTGCTTCAGCTTTGTTGTATGCTACTACTGCACAGTCAGCCCATGGAATACGGTTTATTTACCATTTGAAAACTCAGCAATTCTACTTTCTGTTGATCTGTTTATACACCACCGTAGCGCTGCAAAATGCATTTTCAATGTCTTTTGGTGATCAGTACTCATTCCCGAGGAACAGCAATTCATGTAACTATTTGAGGTGACAACTAATTTCCAGGTTCTCATACTACAATTAGTGCTAAGTTACAAGACGTATGGTAATGCATACGTAGATCTTAGATACTTTGATGCGCGTTACAACCTGCTTAGGTCAGCAAACTATTGGGTGTAGGCAACTATTTATGCCACATACCTTGATGACCTTACTTTCATTGGTAACTACGACCACTCTCTTAATACCCAGACACTAATCCCACAAAATCTCGACATAAATACACTGGCAACCAAGACGTGGAAAGAATGACCAAACTAACGATATTACAGATTGTTGATGCACTACATCTTTGTGTTTTGTTGTGAAGCGATTAAAAACCCTCCGTAAGGTGTTTAGGTGTATTTTTAAGTGAATATACCGATGGGCATTACGGGCTAATTGATCCTAGAATGTCATTTGATGCAAACAGTCATTATCCACATGATGAAGGTTTGCTTTAAGACTTCCAGTAGCGTCATCCAGTCTGTTTTGGAGATGGGAAGGATGTTAAGTTTCAAACCATTTTCTGACCCTTTCTAACTATAACGCAGCAGTCATAAAAGTGTTCCCACTAAACTCATCAGCCCATGATCCAGAATAAATGAAGACACTCCGACAGAATTAAAAAATAACATGTCCCATCTTCTGTCAGTGCACAGCCGAGTAAATAAGGAGTGAGAAAGATTATGATGCAGATACTAGAATAGGTTCGGGAATTTGGATTGGGCGTTACCATTAGTTTCATTTATCAACTGAGGTCAGCTCGAAGTAGGAATCCTAAAATCATATTCCTAGTAGAAAAATATTCATTTACCTTTAATACCTCCTTATTTGCAGAACAGTTAACACCTTTAGTTTTTTCTATCTCAAAACCAATGTTTCCGCATTTTCTTATTAACATAAAGGGAGTGGGTCGGAAATGATAGAGGACGATCAGCAAAAAGCAGGGGCTATGGCAGACTATTGTGGGGAAGTTTTCACTCAGGAACATCTCATAGACGAAGAACTAGACCCAAATACAAAGTCAACAACTCGTCTGCTCACTATGATTAAGATGATGCACTTAAGTCTCTTAGTACCTTAGATATGGAAAAGTCAACAGGATCGGATGAACCACATCCCAAAATCCTGAGATATATTGCAGCCCCACTGACTGTGATATTGTATAGGTCACCTGACCAAGGTGTGTTACCTATGGACTGAAAGGATACAGTCGTCACTTCCACACATAAAACAAGACCAAGACGACATTCATCGAACTACAGACCTGTCAGCCTCACCAATGTTGTAGTTAAAATAATGGAAAGAATAGTCAGAAAGACTATAACGACATTTGTGGAAGTCAACATGTTAAACAGCGAATAACATGGTTTCAGAAAACGTTTATCTTGCACAGCAAACCTTATAGCAGGGGAGCATTGGGTGAAGGTGCTAGACAAAGGAAAACAAGCGGATGTTGTCTACAAGAACTTCAGTAAGTCGTTTGACAAGGTGCCAACAAGTGGACTGTTATTGAAGTTTAAAAATCTTGGTATTGCTGGACTTCTCTTATAATGGCTTGAGGATTTCCTAGCAGGTCGCAGATAAAAAGTAAGAATAAATCCCAAGTTCTCTACCTGGAGACAAGTACTTGATGGAGTTCTGTCCTAGGTCCTTTACTTTTTATACAGTCCCCAATGTTATTATACGCTGACGATGTAAAAGTCTGGCGAGAAACAACGGGAGACACAGATGCATGCGCACTTAGGTCAGATTTAAATAATATGAATAACTGGTCTGGAGAGTGAGTGATGCCTATCAATGCGGAAAAGTGTGTCTACATACACTTCTGGGATACAAAGCTTAACAGGTACGGCATAGGGAAGTGCCTGTACCCGTCATTCTGTTTCCTAAGGATCTTGGGGTGACAGTGAGTTATGATCTTAAGACCAAGGCCCATTGCCAGGGGTCGCAGCTAAGAGGTTTAGAATCCTCTGGGTCTTAAGACGAACATTCACTAATTTAGCTACTACCATGTTCACTACAGTATACACAACCTTAGTAAGGACTAGACTTGAGAACTGCGTCAAGGCTGCAAGCCCCTGTTTAAAAGGTGACTCGCATATCTTGAGAAAACTACAGAGGGTAGCCACCCGTGCAATTCCAGAACTCCGGGACTTACTATACAAAGAGCGGCTTGAAAAGCTAGACCTCTTTGCTCTGCCGTATCGCAGACTAAGATATGATCTAATTTTGGTGTATAGAATACTAAAAATAATTTTGGACCCAGTATACTCTCTATTTTCACTGGACCGGGACATCTTAGAGGACATTGCAGGAGAGTAGGGAAGCCAGGAACGAACAAAATACCCGTCACATACATGTTTTTACACTGAGTCATCAATTCTTGGAAGTTGTTTACCGATGAAGTGGTGCTCGCACATTCAAGAGAAGACAGGACACTCATAAAAAGCATACTAGAAAAGCAATAACATAAATGGTTCAATAGGCCGTAGGAATTGCTTATAGTCCCCAATCTAACCGTAACCGTTGCGACCTCTGTTTATTGTTATTCCCTCTAACTATTGTGAGTGTGTGACAAAGCAAAACACAACTCAATGGGAATAAATAAACACATACGAAAGCACAACAGTGTCGTCAATGCCGTAATGCGCGCATTAAAATGGTTCAAGTGTTTGTGGACGGAATAGAAGAAGCTTTCGCTTAACAGACTTCCGTGTCTAGTAGCACGGGATCACCAAATCCTCCAGGCAGGAACCTAGGTATGTTAACAAGAAAAGAAATTGATAAATCATAGTGCGATACTATCTTTAGTCCTTAAGAATGGATCAAGTTGTCGCTTAAAGGACTCCTGGGAAGTCACTTGGACTAGCTCGGCCGGCAGCGAATTCCAGCATTTTACAACTCTTAAGGAGTAGAAGTTGTGTCTACATTCCGTTCTGCTATGTTGTATCTCCAGTTTTTGGGTGTTACCCCTTAGGTTAGTGTTGGAACTAAGCTTAAGTAGGTGTTTAAGGGGATGTCCAGAAGTGTTAAGTATACTATAAGCCATCAGAAGGTCACCTCTAAGACGTCTATACTCTAATGGGTAAAGGTTAAGTGAATAGAGGCGCTCTTCATAAGGTTTAAATTTGAGTCGTCGAAGTGATTTCGGGGCTAGCTGTCGAATACGCTCCAGGGTGTCCTTATGCTTTTGGAGTGAGGGGGAAATACTATGTTTCCATACTCTAAATGGGGACGGATAAAACTATTGAATATTATATGGACAGTTCTTCCGTCAAACTGGCCAAAACGCGCCTCAATGTTACCAGTGCAAGGTTCGCTCGGAAGGCATTTTTGTCACAGTTAGCGTAAGACTTTAAATCGTAAGGCACCAAGACTCCTAAATCTTTTTCGACTTGAGATACTACTAGAGAGGAGTTACCTAAGTTCTAACTGTAGTTTGCGACATGTCGCAGATGAACTACTTTACACTTTGAAGTGTTAAATGTAAGTCCGTTATCGTCTGCCCAACTCTGAAGTCGAGTCAGTATACTATATCTACAAAGCGACTGGGACCGATCATGAGTTAAGGCTCTTAGATGTGTAATTTTACAGGAGTTATTTCACAGAGCCCAGTGGTGATGTTCTGGTAAGATGTTTGTGCTACGGTGACTTGATGTTCTAGTATGCTTTCTGTCATTATCAGGTCACCCCTTGTTCTCCGATGACTGGGAGATAATAATCCCAAGTGTCCGGATCTATCTTTGTAAGATTTGTTTATCAGTTTCATCACTCGCTCCTTTCCGGTCTCTGTGCTCTGTCCAAGGGATTTGTGTCGATTTTGAAGGGAGACAGTGCAGCAATGTCGTGAGGATGATACAGGTATTCAGTGTTTGACAACGCTTCTACCAGTAACACCTTCTAATATGCTTTGTTCCCACCGAGAGAAATCAAAAGACAGAGTCGAGGAGATCGGAGGAGTGTATTTGGCGATAACCAATATATCGGGAATCTCTGATCTAATCTGGCTAGTGATTGCTTACTAAATTTAGCAGCGTCTGGTCGTCTTTCCTTACTATATGGGACCGGGGTATATCATAGTAAAAAAAGAAATGTACAATGAAAATTTCGGATCCTCATAAACGTCATCGTTCTTTTCCAGCCGTCCTGGAAAAGAAGAAAGAAAATGTAAGTGCGTGTCGAAAATACACTCGTATGTGCGTAAAAAAGGGAAAATAAACTCATGAACACGTAATAGCGTTAAAAAAATTGTTTTTTTTGAAATAGAAATAAAAATATATAAGCATATTAAAATTTTTTTAATAATATAAAAAATGTCGAGAAGTGCCTTACGTGCAATAGTCGTTTAAATGTTCTGGAAATCTCACTCTTCTTCCAGAACGCGTCGTTTTAAGTTTATTTTCGGATACTGTCGAAGTATCATCGTGTGTGTTTTGGTTGTCGGATGAGGTATTATAAGTGTCGGAGTCGTGTCGTTCAATTGTACCGAAGGAAAATCCACGTAGATACGATT